GAATATAACATTATAACATGATATAAAACTCAAAAAAGTTGATTTTACATGATATTGCCCCTTTAAAGCTGAAATGCAAGCTATCTCTTCCTCCTCAGCCATTGATGCCATGACTGAAACTCAGAGAAATTAGTTTGTCAGGTAATCAGTAAGCTCCAGTATGAAGTGTCATCTGTCTGCAGATAGTACACACTGAGTCAATGCAGCTCATTGAGTACGCACAGTACACCAGAGTATGTGGCAGCCTTAAGTTGGTGCTTAAGCACACTTTCCTGGAACTTCTGTCTCAACCATGAAGTTATAATTTGAGTTTATGGATGAAAAAAAAAACACCAACTGCCCTGATGGTCATAATCATGTGCGCCCCATGTACTGTAAATGTGTGGCCAGTCATGCTAAAAACTGACCCATATATTCCTTCAGTCTTGCTCCTCCACATGGTCAGGATCTATTTATCTGGCCCTGGTTTCAGTGCTGTGAGGCACCGCAGCTTAACCTCCATGCTGAGCCTCAGCGTAGGCTTCTGGGTCAAAACTCAGTCAAGTGACAGAGCTGAACAATGAGCTTGTGATCAACCTGAATAAAGGAGCCCTTCAACAGAGCTACTGCAGCTGCAGCCACAACCAAAAAAATAGATGAAGTGTGTAAATATAAAAACAAAAAAAAATAGTTTTCAACTCAGCCTTTAACATTAGATTGTATCCCATCTTGTTCTGACCTGTTACTTTATAACTATATCTGTTGCTTATGTACAGCATTGGCATATACAGTTTATTATTGCACTAATATTTATACGAGCAAAAATAAGCTGTTTGTATTAATAATTTTCACATTTGTAAGTTTCTTTTATTATTTATTTGAATTTGTTAAACTGTACCTCAGTAAGCAAATATACAGGATGCTGAGCTTGTACTCATCCCTTAACTTTGTTCTTTCTCCCATCCAGTATGAACAATTTGAAAGTACGATTGGCTTTAAACTTTCTAACCACAGAGCTGCCAAGAAGCTGTGGAAGGTCTGCATCGAACATCACACCTTCTTCCGGTAAGATTCACTTAGCTCTTCTAACTGGAAGGTATCTGATTCAGTGCCCGTCAAAACAAACCAAACACTCCTATATCTGCAGCGTAATTAGGTGCAGCCACACTCAATCTGTGCTAAAGGCCATCGACTCTGCTGTGAACTTGTAATGAGGTCTAACAATCTGCTATATTATTAAGGTGATAAAGTTTTACTGATGATCTGACAGCAGCTAACTGAGGTACAGGCTCTGTCACACTGTCATGTTTTAGACCAGAGATTCATGACCTTTGGGCCGCGGCCCAATTATGGGCTGTGTGCGCCACCTTGAGGGCCTCAAAAGAACAACAGTTTTTAACTTTGGGCCGCAGAGGGCCGCGGGACCGTGGGACTGCATTGATTTTGATTAAGTTGCAATACACTTTCTCACCACTAGTAGCAGTAGTGCGCCACTCAGATGTTTACCAACAAGAACCTTATAAACCTGCCGAAAATGGAAACCTATTTTAAATGAAAAATAGAGGCAAAAATGAAAGTTTTTTTTTTTTTAGGCAAAAATGAAAGTAACTCGTCAAAAAAGGCCAAAGTTTGTCACTAATATGAAGTGCAGCTTCTGTTTTTACCATGCAATATTTTAAAAGTTCAAAACATTATCAAATACAGTTGCAGATACAAC